GCCCGGCTATTTTTTGGTTGCAGCCGTCATTGTTGTCTGGTGGGTCCGGGCTGGGGATTCGAACCCGCCACCTTAGGTGCACATGGCTGGCGCCTTAGCCGGTTGAGCTATAGGTGCCGAGCCTAAGCTTGTACTTCTAATCTGTGTCCTGCCTGGTTCCTTCCTGCTGTGATGGAGACCAGGGCCACAGGGGCCTGAGGGGTTGCGACACACCTCTATAGTCCTTAAGGTGGGAACCTGACTAAACAAAATAAAAGTACAAAAGCAGTCATGAATCCACTATAAACACTGTTGAGTTTTACAAATATCCCATCATATCACTTAATAACAATTTTACCACAGTAGGACAAATATCAAACTAATATTTGTATTAGGGATGTAATCTACACTAGCTCTGGAAAAGGCATCCATTGGATTTTCATTTTGTATAATTAGTTGTTATTATAAATACATAATCGAGTGACTGTGACCAGTTGGTAAGATAAAGTTTTGGTATATAGCTTCAGATCTTTTAAGGCATCAAAAATTTATTGATCTCTTACTATGTTTTAGATAGTGTGCGAGATAACAGAGACGCCTAATGTAGAAAAATCGGCCTCTGACCTTACTCAAGTATGACTAAAAGTTTCATGGAGAATATATTTTCTATATAGAGTCAAAAACAATCCTTAGGGTTTAGAAATGTAATGGTTTATATGAAGAAGAATGTCTTATCATATAATTGGCTTTAGATGCACATTCTCATGCTGGAAAGATAATGTAGAAAATTATGAACTTGGATCAGGTAACCATATCTATATTCCCATTTTTCTCATTCATTAATTCAACTATTCATCAGATATTTACTGAGAACCTATATAACAGGAGAAATTGTGTTAGGTAGTGGGGAGCATGGCAGCGAATAGGAGAGACCAGCACCCTGTCTTCTATCTGTGGGAACATGAGCAGTTGGCTTAACTTCTCCATGTCTTTAGCCTTGGTCTTTAGTGTAGACTAGTTGTCTGAGGTTTTTTTTACAAAGTTTCTTGTTATCTGGCTTCCTAATTGCAATAAGTAAATAGCTTTTTTGATTGTAGCCAAAATTACTTTTTCAAGGGAGAAAAGGGGATTTCTGTGAGAGAGAGGAAGAGGGAAGTCTCGGGAGAGAGAGGGAGGAATGAGATTTGAACATACATTGCTTCAAGATTACAGAGAGTTACAATCAGAGGAATCTTTCGAGTACTTTTGGGAAATGAGCTGCTGAACTCAACCAAAGGGACTGGCGGGCGGCTTTAGCCACTCCCACACCCAAGGGTCTGTTATATCTCTGTTCCTTGAGTACCTCTCTCACTGAGACGAACTACAGCAAGCAGAGACTGAAAAAACCCCCAAACAAACCCAAAAAACGAGGGAAAAGGAAGAAAACAAAAGCTGCTACTTATGGAAGATACAAAGGGTAAGACCAAAATTGATTTGATCTGAATCCTTAAGAAAAAAAAGAGGAAAAGCCCAGATCAAAAGCAAGTACTTGAAAGAGCAAGAGGCAAAAAGCCCTGAATGAACTTTCCCACCCTCTTCCTTCTGAGAGGAGGCAGAGAAAGAACTTTGGGAAACTTTATAGGAAGCGGAGCCCAGGGTTGTATGTAGTTCAGGATGGCTCTTTGGCAAGCTGGAACGACTTATAAATATTCATTATTAATTTGATCTGGTTTTTTAGATGCAAATGACTTTTTTCAGTCCCCTTGCAGTTTAAGAGGCAGCTGCCTCATCTACAGTCCAGAGTCATCCAGCCTTGGATGTGTACTTTAGCGTGTTTTGTAGAAGATACTGGGCTCTGTGTATAGATTTGTTTTGTTCTTGAGTTTCCTGCGTGCTTTCCTGTTGTGAAATTAGTAAAAGCTTCTGTGCTGGGAGTTAGACAGAGGAGGCAATGTGGCAAGAGGCTGTTACCACAGACCCTAGAGTGTGTCTTCTAAAAACCTGAAGGTTTCGTAAAATGTGTGTGTGGGTGGGTGGGGGAGCTTGTATGTAAGGGGAGGGGTGCGGGAGAGCTGACAGATGGAGAGAGGAAAAAGAATAGTTCTGTCTTCAAATAGCAGGTTATGTCTGACTGACTACATTTAGATTTTGTGTAAAACCTACAAGAGCAGCCTAGTTTGCACAGATGGTGTGCAGTCTCTGTCTTTTACCTCTTTTGGGCATTTTCTGCCAGGATAGAGAGCCAGCTGCTTGCCAGCCTGTGGGAGCCAGGAAGAATCTATGTAGCAGTGAGGGAGTATAGAGTTGCAAACCTTCTTCATCATCTCTGACTTCTAATGTATAGAATGGGAAGAACAGGATGAGTAGTCAACAGATTTCTTAAGGATTATAATAAGGATAGCTGTTAATATTAAAGTCTCACTTCTGTCCTGGGAGCTGCACTAAACATATTACATGTGCTATTTATTGTTATTCTTTATGATTTACCTTATAAGATAAGTACTATGGTTGTCACCCCCTTTTCCAGATGACAGATGACATTGCATTACTGAGAGGGTAGCTCACTTAGGGATGACATAGTTAGTAAGTGGTGAATTTGGATGTGGGCTTTTCTACCCACCCTCTCCACCCTCACATTGTTGTTCTGCTTTTTCTGGTGCCCTAACATAGATTCCCAGTTTCCAAATCCTTAAAGTGCCTGAGGAAATGAAACTGATGAATCTCAAGTCTGTGTAAGAATTTGTACTTTGCAATGAAGTTCACACACATTTTTCTCATTTGATGCTCATGTCTATTCTCTGTGGTAGAGAAGCAGGTATTGTTATTATGGCTTTTAACAAAAGGGAGAAGCTAAGGCCAAGGTTAGATAACATGAATCACACAGTTCATTGCAGAGCAAGCCCAGTTATCTCTGAACTTCTGTTCCTACAACCAGCTGGGCATCACTGATGCTTTCAGTTCCCCAAGGGAACTACTCCTTTCCTCACTCTCAGATGGTTGCAAGGCCTATTTGGGCCTTTTTCCCCCCTTTAGTCTGGAGTCAGCCTGCCTGGGGTTGAATTCTATCTCCACCATTTACTCTATGCCTCAGTTTCCTCGTCTGTAAAATGAAGAGTATAATAATAACATCTGTTTCATAGGGATGTTGTAAGGACTGAATGAGGGATTCATGCAAGGTTCTTAAAACAGAGCCTGAGGTATATGCTGAATAAATCACTCTCTGAAGCCTCATCTTGGGTGTTACTCCTCTTTTTAAGCCTTCCATGACCTTTCAAGCCTAGATTAGGCCTCATTTTGGATGTTTCTTTAATACTTCACCATTTAAGCCTAACGTGGCACTCATCATCTTTGTCCACATTCCTGTCTCCTGTACCATCTTCCCCTCTCTCCAATTAAAGTTTATTTAATCACCTTTGGTACTTCAGCGTGTAGTGCAGTTTTTTTCTTCAGTCTCTAAATTCATGGAAACTTTAATGTCAATGTGGGCAGGGTGGTGGGAGAGGGGCCACAGTCCTGATAGAGGAACAGGAGGCAGCTGCAAAATGGTGCCCATGTAGTAATCCCGGAGGGTCTGGTGCCAGTAAGCCATTCAGGGAATGGACAATACCAAATACTGATTCAGGAGGAGCCATACATTGTTCAGTGGTCAGTGGTCAGGGTGGCATTGTTCCATAAACTTCTTCACAAGGTCAAAAACAAACACTACAGAAGTTGGCCCTGAGTAAAATCATAAAGTACATTAAGTTTTTTTTCAAGCACCCTCCCTTTCCTCTTCCTGGAATATCATTCAGACTAATTTGGCAAATATTATTGTGTGTCTATCATTTGTATGTCCCTATGCCAGATGCTTGAGATATAAACAGTTTGCTGATGGTCTAGTTGGAAACACAGACATATTCACGACCTACTCTAATTGAAACCAGACTCTGTGAAGTGCTAATGATAATAGCTAGTGTTGATTATTATGTCAGACACTATAATGTTTGTATGTGTTATTTTGTAATCTTCATAAAAACTCCATAATAGTGGTTTCTAAAACCACTTGCCCAAAGTCATGCAGATATAATAGGCAGAGGGGGAACTTTGACCCATATAGGTAGGCTGCAAAGCCTGGGATCCTAATGGACAACTTCTGCCTCCCTAAGAGCTGTAATAAAAGTCAAAAAAAAGTGCCATAATGTTGTGGCACATGCCTGTAGTCCCAGCTACTCAGGAGACAGGGTCAGCAGGATTGCTAAAACACAGAAGTTCGAGGCTATAGGATGCTATGATCATGCCTTGATTAGCCACTGCATTACAGCCTAGGCTACACAGTGATACCCCTATTTTAAAAAAAATAATAATAAAAAGAAAATTCCACTGGAAACAAAATAGGGAGTGATGACTTCTGGAAAACTTGTCAAAATATGGGATACTTCAGTTGTATCTAGAGTCTGGTGCCTATGACAACAATTCCCTTCCTCCTCCAAGCAATGCTTAAAGGTCTTTTACCAAAACTAGCAGTAAAAAGCTCTTTCTCATTTTCTAAGTTCTGAGCAGGCAATCTACTATTCCTGTCCATTGGGAGATTTGAAGGCAGAAGTCCAGAGTTTATCTTTGTAAAGGTGACCAAATAAATCTTTACAGAATATCAGTATATTAAATGATTTCTTTAATCATGATTGTCCTGCATGATAAAAATGTATACCTGGTAAACAGTTTTTATAAGTGATTGTGATTGGTATGCTTTTACTTGGCCAAACTACATTTTAAGAGTGTTTTTTCCCTTTTGCTATGTTTTTGGTTGCTTCTCTGCTCTTTATAATCAGTAATTTTGCTCAAGGGTAGTAGCATTTAATCCTACCTCTACTGTCTAGTGGTACTGGGCTTAGCCTGTGCAAAATGATGGTGAGGCCAGGGGTAAATTGCAGAGATTCTGTTCCTTGCAGTATTTTGGAGGAAGGCCAAAATCAAGGGCAGTTTCTACAGTGAAGAATCATCATACATATATATATATATTTAAGATAGAGTCTCACTTTGTCACCCGTGGTAGAGTTCCGTGGCATCATAGTTCACAGCAACCTCTAACTCTTGGGCTCAAGTGATTCTCTTGCCTCAGCCTCCTGAGTAGCTAGGACTACAGGTCCCTGCCACAATGCCTGGCTATTTTTAGAGATGGGGTCTTGCTCTGACTCAGGCTGGTCTTGAACCTGTGAGCTCATGTAATCCACCCACCTTGGCCTCCCAGAGTGCTAGGAGTACAAGCTTGAGCCACGAATCATCAAAGGTCTTGATGGTTTGATGGAATTGTGGAAGAGAAGAGGCACTAGTTTTGTCTCGGTGATGTGTGTGTGTATGTTCTAAGGCAATGCTTCTCAAATTTTAACATGCATATAAATAGCTGGGGATCTTGTTAAAATGCAGATTCTGATCCAGTAGCTCTAGGGTGGGGCCTGAGATTCTGGATTTCTAATAAATTCCCAGGTGATGATAATGCTACCCCCCCCCCCCATAGGCCATACTTGGACTAGAAATCTGAAAGGCTCATTCCATGCTTATTCTTAGGGTTTAGTTTTGTACCAACCAACCAACTCCTTCACCCAATCTGCCCCCTCCACCAAGTTACCACTTTGTGTCACTGATCAACTAGCTGTTATTGCAGGATAAAGGGAAGCCTAATTCGTTTATTCATTTAGCAAATACATGATCTAGAACAGGAAACTGAGGCTCCCAATTTACCAAATCTAGAAACAAATCTGAATCATCAGCACAAACTATTGTTAGGCAAAAAGGCCTTGTGTTGGATTTTCTAAATATTTCCACCTTTTCCCCTTGGCTCTAAGTTGCCCTGAGCTTCCCTTATTCTCTGCATTCAACTTGAGAGGTATTGGAGCAGAACAGGGAGCTAGGGATGGCAGGGACTCAGGGCTGTGAGATTGGGAGCAGGGAATTATTCCCTTTGTAGAAGAGGTGAGAGTAATCCTAGGAGCAAAGGAAGGAAAGTGGGTGCAGAGAGGACCGATGACATTTCTTTAGGTTTAGTTTAGAAATGAGAGCATTTGAGGAGAAAAGAGTTGTTGGGAGTAAAGAAATCTAGGGTAGAAGTTGTCAAACGTGTATGCAACTTGCAGTTTTTATGCAAGTAAAACTTACAGTTTATCATAGTGACATTAGAGACCCAGGAATAAAGGCAGTACTTGCTCCCAGGAATAAAGGCAGTACACAAAGAGGTGTTTTCTTTTGATTCACAGAAAGAATGTGAACAGTTCAGGCTTATGCTTGTAAGCCTAGCACTCTAGGAGGCTGAGGTGGGTGGACTGCTTAAGCTCAAGAGTTCGAGCCCAGCCTGAGCAGAAGTGAGACCCTCCCCCAATCTCTACTAAAATCAGAAAAACTAGTGGTATTTGTGGCTACTCAGAAGGCTGAGGCAAGAGGATCACTTGAGCCCAGGAATTTGAGGTTGCTGTGAGTTATGAAGCCACGGCACTCTACCAAGGG